TTTTTTTTTTCTTCCGTGGAGCATTGCTCGAGTTTGCAGTGCAAGCTTTACCTCAAAAGGGCCACCCTCTTTTCTTCCAAGTGTATGGCTTAACTGTCCTTTTGCAAGTCCCCATTGCTCGGCTCTTGCAAAGCCCTACGGTATAGCACATGTGCAAGAGCCTGACCGCCCTGAGGTAGGATACCATAACCACTCTCACTTGCATGCAAGAGACTACAAAAGAGTGGCTGCATGGCTTGTCAAACCATGGGCTGTTGCAGCCGGACCACTGGAGCAACGAACAGCAGTGTATGCTTGGATGTCTCTCGTAGAGATACAAGCCAGGCAAGAATGCCGAGCGGCAAGGGAGGCAAATCTTTGTGAGACAAAGCCACGTCCAGCGGTCCAGCACTCTGAAGTTTCAATCCGGCACAATATATATCCGGCACAATATAGAGTAGCCGACTCTGCATCAAAAGAAGCACTTGGTGATGTTCAGAAAGAAAGGAGTGAGAGAGGACTTGGATTGGGGAGTCAACGGCAAGCAGGCAAAGGAGTCTTATTCAAAATAAAAATGAAAACCGTCTAGAGTACGGGCCTGGGGCCGCAAAAGAAAATGCTCAGTGGCGGGATCGAACCGCCGACATTGGACTAAACACAGAAGCGTATTAGGTCCACATCATAACCAACTAGATCAACCGAGCGCTGAGGGTACGCGTCAACTTGTGTCTATAAGTAATAAAGGCGTATTCTACAGCCGACCCACTTAAGACCACTCCCCGGTCAGTCCCTTTTTTGGAACCTTGCCATCCTGAGGTTCAGTCAGTCAGTCAGGGGAGACATGCAGGCCATGGAGTTGACCATGTTTTAGTCAGTGCTAGGCCTCCTCCTTCGGATCCGTCCGCTCTTGCTCACAGCAAGTCCTCTTCCGATTCTAAGTCCTTTTCCTCTCGCTCATTTTCTTTCAAACCTTTGCTGACATGATCTTTCCCAGATCATACTGCAATATACTGGTACTCAAGAATAAGACATCAGCAGGGTTTTGTGCGGTCAAGGCATAGGATGGACAGAAGTTGATGATCAATCTTGGCTCGAAGTGCGCCGTGCGGCCCTCCTGTTGTCATTCCTCTCTTCTTCACCTCACGGCTCTCTACTCGTAATCAACGCTCAATTCAGTGTTGTTTGAATACGCGCTTCCTTCTCGTCCTACTGTCCCTTGCAGACTACCGTGGTCTCACTCACGCTTGAGACGAGTGGCCTCTGCACCACCCTTGCCGCAGAGGGCACTTGTCTCGACTCTCGAGCGCTGGCGAGACGAGGCTTCTCTGCTGAGCATGGTGTGACTGTACAGAAACACTAAACAATCATGCTGAACTGAGGGTTGATTGTGGGATGAGAATTGTGTGAGAGTACGGCAAGGCGCGACTCGGCCCGAAGGAAGAGAAGCGCGGCAGGGAGAGCTGTCGCTCGGAGAGATGGCGAGCACGTTGAGCAGAGTGGCGGCTTGTTCTCTCACAAGTTGCTCACTAACGCTCCTGCGCTCGCTAGGTGTGTCCATGTAGTCACTGTAGACACATTTGCATTCCACAAGTCGCTCACTAACGCTCCCGCGCTCACTAGCTCGCCGAGAGGTCCACTCAACGTCCAACCTGTTTTAACTAGAATAAGAATAATGAAGAAGGAGAAGAAGAGTCTGAGGGAGAGCCTAAGGCACGCTACAACAAAGTGCGCCCGAGATCCTTGTCCGACCTCCACTAGTGCAGGGACACCACTCTCAAGCTTGATGCGAGAGTGGGTCTACTGCGCAGTTCGGGTCGTAGCGAGTCGTAGAACGAGCCAGAGCCTGTAAACAGTGACTCAAGTATAAATTTTGAAGAGAGTATGAGCGAAGGAGGGCGGGGTGCTAAAGAAGAAGAAGAAGAGAGGCGAGGGAGCTACAACAAGTCGACCGAGACGATCCACCAACATCCGCCTGAGTTGCCGAGTCTTGAGGCGCGGCCGTCACTTTGGGCCCGGCACGATATAGTGTATATGTCTGCAATCATAACGAGCGTTAGTTCCGCTTGAAAGAAAAAGAGCGAGGAGGAGACTTAGAAGAGGAAGATGAGTCCGAGCGAGGCGAAGCAGGCGAGTGAAGCGATGCCGGCCCAGCAACTAGCGAGTTGCGGTCCTATCCTGGAACACGTTGTCAACTTGATCTCGGACCCAAAAGTATGGTAGTAGTCTAGGGGGAAGGATCAAGCCAGCAAAGGTTTCAGGTGAAACTGAGCAAGAGAAACAGACTCCGATCTGGGAAAGGCTTTAAAGGAGCAAGATGGCAGCAAGACCGCAGGCTGAGTCGTAGCACTTGCCAGACTGTGTACTGCATGGAATATGAGACTGACAGATGTCAGCCCCAACTGCCTGCTGGATCCTGTGAGCTGGTTCAGGCACAAGTATCCTGTCCTCTGCTCTTTGTTCGTGACAGCCACCCACCCCCCTTGATCAAGCAACACGGTAACGGCCAACCAAAGTGCACACTTTGTTAACTCAGGCTTCTCACACTCTGTACAGGCAAGCCGACAAAAATACAGTGCAATACCTCGAGCCAAGCTACTTGCTTTGCTTGTGAGGGCATGAGCTGGGTTTGACTTGGCATTCCATAAGGATGGAAATTTATCTTCAAGTAGACATTTTGACCAACAATCACAAGCGTAGCCAACAGAGTGGGCATGCGGTGTATTGCCTGGGGTGCTCTGTCAGATACGGTGACAAGACTATGCTACAGAAAGGATCTTTCACCCTGTGAGATTTGTCAGAATAACAGATACAATTCAGGAGAACACTGACAGGCTGCATGCCAGGAAAGTAGAAGTAGCACAGTCCAGCCTTTGCCGTGCCCATCGACCACTCATCTGTTGTTGTGATGGTGAGCGTACAAGGAAGCTGGGGAGGCGGCCAGCGGCAGCGCTGCCCACGGAAGAACAGACGATTTAGCACTAGAATGTTTTACATTCACAGTGCAGAGGAAGGAGAAGAACCTCTGCTGCCACGCTCATGTCCAAGGGATCTTTACCTCAGGTGCCAAATGAAGCTTGCCGTATTTCTCAGTACTGGCTGTTCCACTGAGAGGGCAGGATTTTGCAGCCCAGCCAATATGTACGTAACGTTGGGCCAAGGAAAATATGAAAACGCGGCGAGATAGTATAGTGGTTAGTACTGCTGGTTCTGATTATTCAAGCACTTCCAGCCGACCTGGGTTCGATCCCCAGTCACGCCTTCCCTTTTTTCACGTCTGCTTCGTGGTTGCCAGCCTCGGCAGAGGTCAAGTCTTTGGCTCCCTCTAACACCTTTTTGCTGGCAGGGCATGAAGGACACCGACAGGTAGCTCACATACCAGTCCGCTATGCAGTAGTCATGTCAAAGGGGCAGAAACTCACCACCGCCATCAAGCCGGATTTCAGCGGGAGCTTGAACACGAAGACGCTTTTTAGCCTACAGTTGTCAACTGCCACTGCTTGTCCTTGTTGCTGGAGCAATAAAGCTTCCAAAGAAGAACCCAGGAGCCACACCAGCCAGTGCAACGGTCCTTGAAGCAGCACTCGGGGCTCACACTCAAGCTCGATGCGAGACAAGGCACCGTGCACAGG